ACTTATGACCTACTTACTTTATTTTTTTCATTGATTGGCTACCGTATCTATGCGTTAATGGATGAACACCATAAAATTTGCATCTGGTATATATAATGAGACGGGTATAAACACAAAAAATTTTCAGTCTGTTAGGATTATCTTTTGTTGCGTGGGCTTCAACTTAACTGTTTGAAATGGAATGAAACCTCTTTGAAGATAAGATTTGTAAGAGTAACTTCATTTTAAAAAAGTTGTTGTACATCATACAATGGCCAATTGAATGCGTAACGGTAAAATTAAATACAACCTGGATTGTTCCTTAAGGGTGGTCTACAAGCGAAACTTATTACCGTACGCCAGGTGTACTTGACAAAAAAGTACAAAAATTCGGCACTAAGTCACCTATGTGTCGCTACCTGTTATAGGTACTAACTGATGCACCTGTTCCATTTTCTATACAAGATATAATCGATATACAACAAATTAACACGTGGACATGTGTTTGTTGGCATAAACAAGACATTCAAACAGATTTCATTAGGTGAATATTCGCAGATGTCCACCGTATAATGAATACAAACGAATTTTCTGTAAAGGAAAGCGACCCCTATAATTACCTATTTAAAAAGCAATATTTTACCAATAACGCTTATGGAGATTGAACCAGTTTTATTTTATATAACACTAAACATTACGTATTCCGTACGTGTATACACATGTGCTGACCGAAATTTGCAGTTAATTGTCCCAAAAAAATAAGGCACGCACACATGGTTATTAAAAATTAACATGTTACTGTGCTACCTTGTAAATGCAAGAAATTGTAGGTCTTTTGGCGAATATCCGTTACAAGCGTGAAAAATATTTAATAATGTACCTGGACCTTCCAAATTTTCTTCGTGCATCGGAATATTTATGATGTTAATTTGTAATCGTCTCACATCCCCTGAACTCTGTAAAACCAGTAAATCTTCATAATCGAGATCAATTAAGAATAGCAAAAAGGATTGCAATTAAAATGTCGTCGACGCAATTATAAAAAAAATATGACAAATTGCTCAGCCGTATAAGACGAATTATACTTTTAAAATATCTTTTAATTAGTACGAGTAATGCTGAGAGTGTATTAATTTTCATCTATAACTACTTTTTCTCAGTGTACAACAAAAAAAGGTGACAATATGCGAGGAATACTAATAAATTATCTAGCCAGTCAGAGTCGCATATTAGCCCACGGGGTGCAAGTGGCAAGAAATGCCTTCTTGAAATCAGACTGATGCATGTAGATAATTGGAATGTTTACCATATGGCCAAACTTTCGCTTTTGTTGACATTTTGTGAATTTCCAATAACATTTAGGAAATTACTAGTATGAGCACAATACAATATGTAACAAAGCGTTTTTGGATGCTTTTGTGTTGAGAAAAAACACCTGTCAAATTACCAAATTAGGAAAATAATATGCGAAGTCACTTTTTCGCCCAATAAACCAATAAAGCGGCAATAAACCTAAAACGAATGACTACTATAAAGGATTATTCAATTATTAAAATAGTGACATTTATGAAACAGTCTATTATTTAATAATTGAATAAAGTTTTATTGTTCTGATATCGTAAGTTAGATTGCAACGTTATCCCCCCATGTTAGATCATTAATTGAGTAAATTTGTCAGTCCCTATAGTCTTCATTAGTAAGTTCATTAAGTAAAATTACATATCTAATAAATATTGAAATTAGATACTTGAACAGAGGAATCTATTACGCTTAGATAATCAGAAAGGATTTTAAGAACTGCGCAGGGAACTGCCTTATAAATTGTGATAACTTTAATTTGGGATGTGCCCTATTTTCTCAGCCGGTTTCACTTAAACCTAACAAAAAACATCTTTCTTAAAAGCAGCTCCACTTTTTTAATTGAAAACCCAAAATGGTGCTACATTATGATATTCTTGTAGACAGTGCACCCTAATTTTCATTGGCCCTGATATTTTTTCTGGTATGTGACTTTTAAACGGCAAAGTATGAAGCTATCGTGATTTTGTGAAATTTTACATATGATGTATTATAAATATTTTTTTTTAATTTTCTTAATTCAAAAGATCCGACTGTTGATTGCATTATCCTAAAAAATCCTTCTATAGATGAATATGCTGCAATTTCTTCTGGATAACATACTGTAGGTATCTGCCTACTTAGGTACTACTAGAACGTGTTGCATAACCTGCGTAAATATTACAGAGGACTGTAGCAATGAAGTAGGTATGTCAAAGAAATTTTTTCCAAATAATACGAAGAAGAAGGGCATCAGTTTAAACTGTCATTACAGTGTAAATTAGTGCGGGGTGAAAGCTTTGATGAAAAATGCGAAATATTCCTATTGTAAATCCCTAACTTTTTTTTACTAAAGGTATCTATCCAAATATTTTGAAAACGTGAATAAAATCAACGAACATCAGTTAGAGAGTTTTTTTGTAACATCTTGTACATAATCTGTTTGTTTCTCTGTAGTAAAATGTACCAAGTAGTCATAATATTTATTTTGTGTTGGTTCTTGTTGCATTTTCCAATTAAATGAACATGAAAATAGCAAGGACTATCTGGAGACGGATTTACTTGCGCGTCTTTAATACGTCACCTCCAGTTTATGATTCAAGTACGTCTTTCACGTACATTTTGAATCGATTAAGTAATTCGTTCCGATTTCGCCAGTATGCAGGATACCAAATGGGACGCTGTTCATTATACGCGACCCGGATAAACAACTTTGAGACTTTAATTTAAAAAAATTGTCGTACTGTCTTTTTCGTTGGATTGTACAGGGTGGTTCAAATTCGTGGCTCACCATTGTGGATTTCCGTAACGGTGAGAGATACAGTGTCGGCTAAATGGGGGTAGAGTTTTCCCTTTTTGTGACAAAAAAAAACTCATTTGGAGTTTTTAAAAAATTTTGAAAATAGTTGAGATATTACCGAAAAACTAAAAATGTCCAATTGCGTTTTCCGTTTTTCCTAGCTTCAAGGGAAATGGACGGTTCTCGTTAACAGGTGTATAATACTGTCTAAAACCTGTTTGAATAGGATTTTAGCGCAGTGGGGTCGTACAATTTTTTTACAGCCCACATTTTTTAATAACGAGGGAATTTTTCGAGTGGTTATCCATTCAAATTCGAATGTTAACCGGGGGCAACGTTACTGGGCTGGAGACAGTAAAAGAATTATTAGTAATAATCACAAACAAATTTAAAAAAAACGCGCGAATTTGCAAGAACGCGAGGCCCGATGTATTTACGAGAGAACGTAGGTATAATAAAAAAATTATCGAAGTTATCGACCATCTCGAATTAATTAGAATTATTGATTTAATAAAGGGTAAACTTCATTTTTGACCGAATATAACAAATACATGGAATATACGATCCTTAGAAGCAAGCAAACTAGCGGGAATAACAAAAAATGATTTGTAAAAAATATTCGTAGTCGCCCATTTAATGATGCTATCTACATTTTCACATAACTGTACCTTAAGAGTCAAACAACATAATTAACATTCTTAATATACATAAGAAATTAATAAACTTCCATTTTTCCCCACACTTCACCTTTTTTGAAGACACTCTTCCAAAAATTTGATTTTTTGTTTGAGCTAGGAAGCTGTTCTGTCAAGAATTGGCACATTTCTTTTCGTAAAAAAAGCAGTCGTCACTTCCAAAATTGAAGTTTGTATTTTCAGTACCTTCTTGGGAGTTGCTATGATGAAATCAAGTTTTTTATGGAGACGCGAAGCTATTCCGGTAGCTGCTAATTCTGTTCGAAGTGAGTTCGAAGTTGACGAAGGGGGAAATAACTTTAAGGAAATTAGACTAACTAGACTATAATTAGTCTCATTCGAAGTTGTGCATTTTTGAAACAAGTTTTAGTTTGATCATGATGATGCTCACTAATATTTTCATCTACTGGCGCACACCCCCACTTTTTAAATTGGGATTAAGTATGTCTTTCTTTATCTAATAACCGTAATTAGTTCGGATTGTGACCTAATAGGCAAAAATGCATAATTGTAAAGCAGCGAGCGTCTTATTTAAGAGACAGTTTTATGGTTAACTGTATTAGGTTATATAAAAGAGAATGTTTGTAAGTTTTTAAATCGCTCGCTAGTGGTCCAAATGGGCGAACTTAAGATATACTATAACGAATGGGATAATTTAATATAACATTTATAAAGAAAGTATTTGTCGAAAAACGCTAGAAGTAAAACCACAAAATTAAATTGCAAGATTATAGTGTTATGATGACTTCTTACGAAAGCTTAAAATGATTTTTACGAATCATTACGTAAATTGATTAGTTTTGTTGTATATGGAAACCGTTTTTGGTAGCACTTCTTTACAATAAAAAATTCTATGAAAGTAATGACGATTATATAATGATATTCTATGTTTTCTAATTTAATATATGGTAAAAGATATGTTATTTCATGAGGATCATGAGTAAAGACTGTGGCCCGTAATGTGGATTAAATTGTAAGGCAAATAATTTGTATTGGCAGTTAAATTCTTCCATGCAGGCACCAAACCGTCGGCTCAATTTTGCTTATTTTTAAATTTTATTCACAAAGCTGTAAAACACAAAACCTTCTAAAACACCTTCCAAGTCAGTGATTTCTTAACAGTTTTGGCGAATTTGAACTTTGAGGTTATGGGGCTTTTTTTTCATGAGCTTTAAATGACAGAGTGTGCATTTTTAAATTATAAGTACACCCTCGGGTACCCCCGTTAGCTAATCGCAATGTGTATACTACGTTACTACCTAGTATAATCAAGGACGTGTACAAATATTAAATATTAAAGTTACGAACAATCATTTTGCCCTAACTTCTCATTAAGGAACACCGTTAGTGGGCAAGTGACACTGATTGTCTCGCAAAAAAGTTGTTAAAATCAAAGCCACATTCTGTAAAATTGTAAATGTAAATTGAAGCATGTGCACCTCAGTGCATGGGGTAAGTACTAAACTAACCTGAGGGCGATAATGGTAGAGCCGTAGGTAAAACGTTAGGTGCCGTATTAGGTGTTGGTAAGCCGACGGGGTCCATTTTCCAGTTAACAATCGCCGATCTTGCCGCAGGAGCAACGGGTACGGGACAACAACCCGAAAGTCCTGGCACGCTTGAAAACTCAGGTCCGCCCCCAAGTGTGTTTCCGTTGGAAATTAACATTTTATATGTCTGTTCGAATCTTGATTAAATTCCAATTTGAGGTTTAGTCATTGTGAAATTCACTGCAAGTAGCTTCCACACTTTGTCTTATATTATCGTTTATTTAGCACAGCCGATTTTAAAATTGTCTAAATTAATTATTTACACGGAAAGATATACGCGATTTTATTAAGCGATGCACCAGCGTCTTTCTATCGCGCACCCCTTTATAATGTGTAGGGTTAATGTTCTAATGCGGATTCGTTCAGGGAAGTTCTATAGCAATAACCTCTTGTAATGCTTCAGAAAGGCAAGAGAATGCGAGTTGAAGCCTAAGAACTGCGGGCACGACACTGAATGACTGCCCAGTGCTCAGGAGCAGCTACCTGCCAGGTAAGCGGTGCTACCTCGAGTTTGGTTGGCTACCTGTGCTTACTTGATAGGTAGGCTTGCACCCTCCTGTGCTCGGCCCACTGCGATTGCTCATCTTGGGCTGCCTTTGAACGGATCTCGAGTTTCCGTCAAAGGAAATAGCTATATTTAAGGTCGCCTTATGTAAAACGGAGAAGGATATAATAGATTGTGCGTAACCCCTGTCTTGAGTTACACTAAAACTAATGATGATCAACCAGCTACTTGTATTTTTGAATTATAGTCCTGTTTTTCGGGCTTAACTTTTACGCAAACTTATAAATTCCGCCACTCATGTAGAAATATTTTCCATTTCGCATCCGAACCCTTATAACGTTAACCTCATATCCCCATTTCAGTTGTTTGATCATGTGCCAACATTTTTATGAAAAGTTAGGTACTTAAAAAGTGTACAGGCAGAATTTACATTTATCTACTTCCCAAGACAAAGCAATTAAATCAAGGGCGACGGCGACGCCTTGAAAATACAGGGCGTAATTGACACATATAAGTATTTACTTAGGCACCAATCACTTATTAAGTTCTTTTAATTTTAATGATTACTTCTGAAATTTTGGAATCGGGAAATCTGTGATTTTCTTTTATGTAGGTATTGGTAAAGAATGTGCTTTGCAACTATTTGGATGCATTCAGTGGTGAAGGATTCTGCAGATTTATTCCACAATAAGGTTGCCAAGGAAGCCTCATCAGAAACCTAAAAGGCAACGATTGACTGCCACAACCTGCGTTCCACTAATTAACGCCTGATTTAAACTTTCACTACTGTCTGTTAGCTAAGATTTTGTACTTCTCTTAAGAATTCATGGCCCGCTGCAGATAGTACAAAACACGAATTTTGGTGTGTGAAAGAGTTATATATACAGGGTGTATAAAAAAGGTCGGATAATTTATCCGCGTATAGTACCTACTCATGAAAAAAAATCAAAAAGTCTTAATAAACATAAGTCCGCAAATTAGGTGTTTCAGAGATAAGAGTATAGATTTGCACACAAACTGCACATCTTGAAGGGAAGCTCTTATTCGTTCGACTTCGAATACAAAAATATTTAAATTAAGACAGAAAATCAACTCTATTTCTGAAATCCTGAAATTTGCGGACCTATGTTCATTAAGACCCTTTTGTTTCTTTTCATATGAGTAATGTACGCAGATAAAATATCGGACCTTCTTTTCACACACCCTGTATATCATAGACGAAAAGAGGTCTATTTTGTGAAGAATTTGATCCTGAAATGTTTTTTTGTGGGTTGTCTGATGTCTGCACTGGGCATGCACAACCTATTCTTTAACACGTTATGTCAATTGGGCAAGCACAAAATTCCGATACAACTGAACCGTACGATCCTCGAGATCTTCATGCATCCATCATTTTTACAATACACCTGAAGGCGTTGATTCTGTCCCACCAGATCAGCGTAGTTTGTAAAACAAATTTTTTAAATCGGCATTAGTTTACTTTTATTCGAGGTGTCTACATACAAAATCTCATTTAAATATTTTAATAAATAGAAAAATTGGACTGCGCTTTCGCAAAACAAATTTTTTGATTGAGTATTAGTTTTGCTCTTACTCGAGGTGCCTACATACAAAATTTCATTTCAACACACAAAACCGGACATTCATCTGCTCTGCAACAAGAATTATAAAAGAAACCCTGTTTTTAAGGTTTGGGCAGTTTTTGGGATGTAACTTTTTGGCCCGATAGTCTACGTACAGCTGAAAACAATAGTTACCTTCCTTATATCCGCAAGAACATGTGTACCTACTAATTTCAATCAAAGCGTTCGGACGTTTCTAAACAACGTTACCGTACACACGGACAGATAGATATACACACGGACAGACGAACAGACAGACTGACGGAAAAAGTGAATTATTAAACTACAAAAGTGTGATACATGAAAAAAATCAATTTTTGCTTTTTGATTAATAAACACAGAAAAAATTCCTTCCTTGGTGCAAGCCTCAACACTACTACACAAAACTAATGCCAAATAAAAAAATTTGTTCTGCGCATGCGCAATCAGATCCTACTAAAACAAGAATTGCACATGGCCAGACAAACATTCGGTATTTCTGAAATTGTAGGGTAGGAATTGAAGTAGGACGTCAAAAATGGATTGCACATGCGCAACGCAAACTATTCCTATTTGTGGCCGGATTTTTACGAAATTGCATCTTACAAATGGGAAATGAATGCAAGTGGAAATGCGCTTCTTGTATATCGTTTACAATTTGAATTTCAACATTGTTTTGTGAAATGTTTAAGTTTTGTTTAAATTGAGTGTTTCGTAATTTGTTTATTGTGATCTTTTTACTTAATCGTAAAAGTGGAAGTACGAGTTAAAATGTAGGAACATTTGGTCGTATTTGCGCGCTGTATTATAAAGGTTTATCAGGCCATTGCGATAAGAACATTTGTTATCGCGATGCGTAACGTGAAATTTAATTAGTTTCAAGATAAGTGTGTGTTTTCGCCGATAAAAAACAACAGTTTATTTTGAAACTGGCGTTAATCAAACTTGGTTCTGATTGGCTATTTGTTTATGGAATCTTAAAGAAGATTTTTTGATATGGAAGAGAAAAGATTCTTTCAATACGAGAACAAAGAAAAACTGGGCTTTTTAAGTAGCGATCCGACAGTATTAGTGCACGTTTTAAACACCGTTTAACGACTAGATTATGGATTAATAAAAACTTTAATTATTTGCCTATAGATCTCTTGCAGGCGTGGTATATGTAGCAGGCCCTAAGAGCATCTCTCTCTCTCTCTCTCTCTCTCTCTCTCTCTCTCTTTCAGCTTTGTAAATTTGTGTGTAGCCCGAATAAATATTTTATTTGTCAATGAACACTTTTGTGATTAATCGAACCCTTATAAATTTTATGATCCATGATTAGGGTTTTCACATTGAATTTGATATTCGTATCCAGAGTTGCTAGGTGATATTAAACATTTGTTTAAATAATTCTCTAGACTTGTTGAAGTGATCAAGTCTGCTGAAATTCCTAAATTAGTCGTTATCGTGATTTTTTTTCATTGTAGCTGAGGCCAGGCGTGTTTGAGAAATTACAATCAAGTTTATTTAATTAGGCTAGCTGGACAAATGTCTTGTGGGTGGCTTAGTAACCGTTTGCCATTGCACACAGAAATATTAATGCCACCTTATACTTTAGATATGAAATTATGAGACGCTAGCTGGTCTGTTGCACACGGTGCTGAAAAAGCTCGTTACGGCACTGATGTTATCCTTCGATAGAAAAAAAAACCGACGTATCGATGGTACAAATCATCGAACGAAAATACTATATTTATGCTATTTTTCCGCGCAAACTACTTAGTTTTAATTTAGTTAGTTAGGTTACTGTTGTTTACATAAATGTTGTTCGCACCTAAATACCATATAAGTTATTTACTAATTTCATAGCTTAATTTTAACATATAAACACTGTTTAAGTCCCAAAAGTTTTACCTAGGCCTACCTAAGACTTTTTATACTTTTACTACAGACTCGTGGCTACACTAGAGCAAATTTTAGGCGACACACGGTATATTAGACTAGTGCTTTCAAACGCGATACATAGATGACGTGTATAACCCATTAATATTTTTAAATAATTGATTGGTACAATTAGGCGACTGGTACGATATGCCCGTCCGTTCAGAGATAACCTTTTTCTTGTGACACTGTAATTTCTAATTATTTATTTTTTAATGATAACAAGAACTACAGTCAGTTAATTTTCTGAATACGTTCGATAGGGACGCAAGTAAATACCTATTCCGTTTTAGACTGTAGCTGTAGGTAATTTTACGTATATAGTGTCAGATCCAAAAATAATTCGGTGGCTTGGTATACTGTGACAGACAGAAGGAAAAATAACCCCATTTTTGTTTTTATTGTTATTTTAGTAACTATACTTTTAATGGTACACACATTCTGAATCATGAAATATTGATCATCTGTTATCATTGCACAAATTGTAGAAAGGCGTTATGTATCTTGCAATACGTTGACTTTTTTATTAAACGGCTCTCCAAATACCTATCCAGTTCTCTCATAGTTTTTAAGATTAATTAACAGAGGTAACTCATAATTTATTTGATTGCATATAAAGTAGAAAGAAGGCATCACCGGTAGCTTAACACAATAGCGTTTTATCATGTACATCATTAATAAGATTAGAATTATTTTACCACCTTATAATTTATGGTATCGTGTTTTTAAAGTAAGGTTGCCGCCTTACGACCATTAATATTAGGTAAGTGTACACCATACGAGAATAAAAAGTATGCAATTTATAAGCGGAAATAATTATAAATTTTTGTGACATGTCCTTGTGTGAGGCTTAAACAAACCTTTTCCTTGTTGTTTTTCAGAGAAATTAAAAAATAACCATACTAATACTAAAATGAATCTATCACCTTACATTGTAAAAGTAGGTAATACCTACTTGATGAAATCATACCATTTGAAACCACCTGCATATTTTTGCGTACCTGTCTATAATCGCACAGATGCAGAGGTGGATTAACTGAACAATGGACCCTAGCGTATGATTAATTGTTCCACCCCCTACACCTTGGTATTAATATCCTGCATCCATGCATCTTGTTACTGTAACAAAACAAAATTAATTTGCTTTTCTGTGAAGTTATAAAGAAGCAATTTTTTAGCCATTCCATTTGTGGACCAATTCATATAATTTTGTAGACTAAATTCTTATTTTAAATTTACCATATAATGCAACTCTCTAAATTATCAACCTCCTCTAGTTCTGCTACTTTTTCCAAAGTTTTAATCAAATCTTCATCACGTCCCCCTCAAGCTTAACTCTTACTTTTAGTTGTTTTAACGTTGAATAAAAGTTATTTCCAGATGCCCCATATGACTATTAAATTCTACCCAAACTCCAACAAATT